TGAGAAGATGAGAAGATGAGAAAATGTGATGAAGATGTGAACATGTGAAGATGTATAACAGGCCCCCGCTTTTAGAAGAACCCTTCGCTCAGATGCTCTCGGGACAAAGCAAAGCACAGCAAACGCCAAACTCGCCAGCCAAATCCAGTCCAACTCGCCAAGGCTTTGCGTTGCATGCGCATCATCGATACCGACCGACTACTTCTTGCACGGGAAGACAGGTCCCTTGCCCCAATTTGATGCCGCTATAGGTCAAGCTTGAAGGTCGCAGCCACACTTGCTGTGGAGCTTAACATGTGTTCATTCCATGAAACAGCGTCTCTGAAACATGTGGTGGGGAGCTGTATCAGAAGTTGCTTCCCAATCTTCTTTTTAGCAATGACGGCATCAACTTGAAACAATGGGCAGATTAAGGTGGGGACGTACTTGCACATTTACAGCTCCAGCTGTGGCCCACCTCCGTCAAGAGAAGCAAACGCCATACTATGGACACGGGCTTCAACATTCATGCGCAATTTTTGGGACTTCCCCTAAAACACGCAAAATTTTAAAAGGATTTTTGCCCCTGGCTGCAAGAGGAAAACCTTGGAACAAAACGGCTTCTCAAATGCCGAGTAAATCCCAGGTCAGAAACTGTCGAGCCGAATCAGCGTCACAGGGCACCGCCCGAAATCAACATCTCAAGGTTCAGAGCAGCGTCGCAGAATCAGTGCTAAAGATGATCCTGGATCAACATCGTGGATGAGTGGTCGGCACGGTCAGGATGGTCGGGACGGTTGGGATGGTCGGGGCCGGAGGGATGGTCGATGGTCGAGGCCGGATAGGGTTTCTTTAGCCATGATTTTGGCTTTCTTTTAATATTTTTTTGAGTTTCTTTAAGGTTTCTTTGTCGGGACTGTCGGGTCAGTCGGGGCGGTCTGGATGGCACGGACGGTCGGGACGGGCGGGACGGTCGAAGCGATTGGGATGGTCGGGACGGTGCGGTCGGGACAGCCCGGGTAGTCCGCAATGTTGCGATCTATGCGGTCCCGATTTAAGTAATGTAGATTCTGATGCCGCCGCGCGGATCCAACCAATCCAACGAACCCAATCCAACTCAAATGCCGTGCTCCACCTGGCACCAGCACCTGCTCAGGTATCATGGAGAGTTGGGCACTGAGCCGGCGGATCAACGTGCCAAGCGCTAACAAATGCTAGTCCTGTTGTACGGGATGGATAAGGCTTGAATATCCCCAAACATGGACCAGCTTCCGGTTTAATCATGCCTAACAATACCAAGTAGGGTGGTCAAGGCTATTACCCGGCCTTGTTGGCCTGAAAGTCTTGGTCCTACTTTGCGGCGCCAAGAAAATGAATTTGCAATTTTCAAGGAGGGAGAGCTTTGTTTTGCACTTTGGCCCATCCATATATCAAACACGCAGATCTTTTCTTTGAGCAAGCCTTTATCCAGGTCGGATCCCGCCCTTGCAGTTGTTCAACGTGGTTCTTTTCCTGATTTGGGCCGATTATAGCCATGGCAGATGCCATCTTGGATCTGGGTGTGTAGCTATCATGTTTTCAGCTGCGGTGGTCCAATCCTTTTCTGACCTGCCATGAACACCCATGTTTAAAGAAGCATTACAACAAGCAGCTTCGCTTTTTCAGTCATACATTTTCGCTTCAACCATGCCTTTAGATTTTTTGCAAGCGGGCATTTGCTGCTGCCGTAGCTGACGCTGTTTCCACCCTTGCGTGAAACCCTTGTGCCATAGACCCTGTGCGCTTCATGACCTGCTGCTGCAGGTTGGGAATCTTGTCCCTGGGCTCTTCACCCAAGTGGCTCGGCGGGAGACAGCCAGGGGACATGGCTGCTTCATCGAGGGGCGATCTCCACTCAAGAACAAGTTCCTGTCCCTCCCTTGCACGCGACCGTGCTCACCATTCCCATCATCATAATCATCACAAGCATCATGATCATCATCATCATCATCATCATCACCGTCACCATCGTCATCGTCATCATCATCACCATCACCACCATCACCATCACCATCTTCATCATCTTCATCCTCTTCATCCTCTTCATCCTCTTCATCTTCATAGTCCAGCCAACAGCAAACTCACAGCAAAACATCAAGTACATGGAGAAGTGCGGGTGAAGAGAATGCTGCAGCATCAATTGCACGTAAAAGCCCAAGTGAATGTAATATAACATTACTGCACTCACCCCAACCCCTTCTATGATGCACCATCCAAGCCATTGCGCCAGTGCAAGCGTATGTTAAATAACTTTTTTGCGCCCCACCCCACCCCACCCCACCCAGCCGTACTTTGATGCTAGCGCAAGTGAACGTTATTGCACCGCAGTGTATATAACTTGGCATCAAAGTCCTTGTTCAAGTGCAACTAAATGTTTACAGCATTTTTGCACCTCACCCCACCCCTTTACGACGTAGCATCAAAGCTTTTGTGCCAGGGCAAGTGAAGGTTACTGCGGCCCGCCTTTTCCCCTTTGTTTACAACGTCGCATCAAAGCCTGTGCGCGATTGCGCCCCCGCTCCCCGGTTTTTATGTGACGCGGCATCAAAGTCCGTGCGCACGTACATGATTTTGCCCTCCCAAAGTGTGGTCTTGCCGGAGGAAGCAGAAAACATTGCAGCCAGTCGGCGAAATACAGATGGGGGAGCAATTCCTTTGGCAGAAGCGACACGGAAGGACGAACCCATATATAGGTAAATCACCAGAAGCGGCGACCCAACGGCTCGGGCTCTTCCCAAAAAGTCGGCGAAGTAACCCTTGAAGATGAGGTGCTCTGTCATTCGCTTGTGGCCAAGCCCTCACAATGAGGCCGGAATGCTTCAATGATGACGGCATGATAGCGATAGCGTTAAGGACAATGTTGGTTTGAATCGGGGGAAAGGTGAAGCATAAAGAAGAGCAGGTACAGCTGAAAATGAACCTCGGAAAGTGTTTTAGCAGTATGACTATGTCATCGGTTTAGCGTTCATGACCCCTCATGGCCAATGAGCACGGGGATTTCTTAAAGATCCGCATTCCATGTTTGGGCAGCCGATTGTGGGCGGAGTGTCAAGCCATGCACAACAGGATGCCCAAAAAGCATTTCACCCTGCTGGGCACATGTGGGATCCCAGTGGCCGATCTGCGCGGGGCAGGCCGAGAAAGGCAGCGAGCCACGCAATGAAAATTGAGCTGCCAAACCAGGGGGCGGGCCCAGGTGAAATGATGGGAGCACCAGCAAACAGCCGGGGACAGACCAAAACTATAGTAATCAGGGCACACGGCCAGTGAAGAAAAGGAGGAAACAGAAAGAATGGCAGAACCACTAACTGGCTGGTATAAGACCACCGGCACTGAGCGATAACAATAGACCGCCATTGGAATTGCATAAGTGCTACATGATGCCGGTTTGGCCCGTATTCGTTGGTTTGGCTTGTGTCTTGCTAAATCTTGGGGCGTTAAAACTATGAAGAATTGCATTTTCCTTCTTCCCGCAGCAAGCCACATTGCGAAGCACCATGGGCTCACATGAAGATTGGGACGTTAATTGATTTACGGTTTTTATCGGTTCAACACCTTGGGCAGCTTTCCTTTTCCATTTCTTGCCACACAGCCATCAGTGGGCCTTAACCTTTCAACTTGGGGTTGACAGTTGTAGCACCGCTTGACGTGGTTACCGGTGCTATAAGGGCCCGTGCACCCAGCCAGCGTGACATCGCAGGATGTCCAGCACGGCATCGGCGTGGAGGAGTGGGAGGGCGGCTCGCGCTACGATGGGCAGTGGCCTGGTGTGGCAGCGAGGGTGCCATGTGGTGACACCTGGGGCTTGCCTCTGTTTGGGTTTGGGGGTAGTAGCGATATGACATAATACTAGTCTTGATCAGGCGAGAGGATTCTTTCTCCGTTTTTGAGGCATGTGGAACTCCTGCCATGCACATCAAAGTAGCCATCCGAAAATGTGATTCTTCAAGGTTTTACCTCTTATGGGATAGCATTAGCTTCAAATACGCAAGCTGGTTGCATGCAGTGTTTTGGGTCATCAATGGTAGTGTGCAATCCACAGTGTCAATCTAGCAGGCGCTGATGTTTAAACAAGTGATCATAGGGGTAATCCATCTTGGATGTGGCTGTGTACCAAGCAGACACGCGACATAGAAGGGGGCAGAGGCAACAAAAAGCAGTCAGGGGCTTTTGCAAAACCCACGATACCGATACCAATACATCAACTTCAAGTCTCGGCAGTTGGGTTCTAGTGTGGAAGCCACTGGGCAATTTTCTCGGCGTAGTGTTGCATGACCAGGTTATAAGTATGGCCAAAAGAACACATTTTTTTGCCGCAGGTACCCTTCTACCCATACCCATAGGATCCATGTATGCCATATATGGTAACATTTACCATCAATATACCCCACACGTTAGCATATATACCATACATGGATCCTATGGGATAGCCAAAAGCATCACGAACACAACCGCAAGACCTTTCCCCAGATCGGCGAAAAATGCCCAGACCGCCTATTTGCCGCACCGCAATCAAATGATACTCAATGGGAATCGTTGACCTGTCAGGCCGACGATGGGATCCATGATATAATCCAACAGTTATGGCCTGAAATAGCAGTTGACGTAGGTTGGGCTGGTGCTCTGCACCCTTTTTTGTTCTGCCCGTGGTCAAGCAGCTGTGGCGTGTAGATCCTTTGCATTTGGTGGGGTGCAGCCACCGGTGGGCTCGCAATATTTCTTCACTGGGAGTTCGGTTTTGCGGGTTAGAACCGGTAAATCTCCGTGTTTCTTCATTTTTTGGACGGCTACCCGTCAGCTCCCTACAGCTGATGAGCGGCCGCACCTTCAGGTTCTATTGGGGAAAGAAGCAGGGCTATGGCTGGGGTGCTCAGTGGCTGCGGGGGCTGCGCGGGTTGAGCAGCAGAAAGGGCGGAAATGATTTGACCAAACAGTGATTGGATCATCGATAGATAGATCGATAGATAGATAGGTAGGTAGGTAGGTTCAGATAGGACATGCTTTTCAAGAACCTTGGAAATCAAAAACCTTGTAGCGAACTAACTCAGGTGTCTACTCCTGGCCTGATGGTTCTTTGCGCCCTTCTTTCTGTTTCTGCACAGAGGGACCGCCAGGGGTTTACTTTCCAAAAAGCATTTGTTGAGAATCAAATTTGAGTTTAGGGCAGCTTGGCACAGATCTGCTGCCGTCCATTTTCAATGCCGCCCATGAATGATGGCTAGGAAGCATCCAGTCAAAATGCGTTGGGCATTGAAGTTTTTGGGCAGGTACATGGGCCAGTGGGACTCCAATGCCATCAACGGGTATGGCCATTACATGGGCAAGGACGGCAGAGAGCCGGGCTTTCCCAGATTGGAAATGGCGGGGAATTTTGATTCCAACGACACCCCATTGAAAATCCATGTTTAGTTACTGGCCCGCGCACACTTTCTTGGATTTTTCTATAGCTTGCCACCTCCATCTAAAGCCCCGGCGCCGAAACAGAATCATGATTATGGGGGATGCCGGTGATATCTGTAGCATTTTTTGTCTACACGCATGCCGGTTGCTTGCAGCCAATTTTCATGGATGCCAACCCCGACCATGACATTTAGCGGGCTTGCCGGTAGCGCGGTTCTGGCATCTTCACCCCCGCCCCCCCAACCATCAACCATCGAAGCCATCCGGTTCTTGTGTGGCCAAATGGATGCGTGCATCTTCACTTGGGTTGCCGTGACAAGACAGGAAAATCAACCCTGTGTATCGCTATGTATGGGCGAGCTGCATTTTCACAGTGGGATGAGTTAAACCCAAAGGGGCATGGTTCCAACACGTTTTTAACTTTGGATTTGAAACCGGAAGAACCATGTGCATTTCCCGGGCTTGCTTTTAACGGGAGTTCAAGTTTGGCCCGTGCACGCATCAGCCCAGCCCGCGCTAAGGTTCCAGGGCTTATGGCACGAGGCCGTGATCCACGGCTGCGGCCGATACACCTGGCCGGACGGCCGCACGCTGCTTGGCAGCACACGTCAACCAATGAGTTAAAGATTACGGATACTGCTCTAAAGTCCCAAATAGCAAAAAGTGTGGTTCCGCGGTGGCGTATCAGGGTTTTCCATTGGAAGGGCCAGTACCTTGCGATACAGAGTTGCAGCGGCAGCCAAGAGCAGCTTGAGCCAAAACACCCATTTCCAAGAAAGACAGAAGAGAGACAAGCTTGGGAGACAAGGCGGTAGATCAAAGGGGGCCAAAGAGGAACCAAAGGGAGACAGCTTGGGAGACAAGGCGGTACCAAGCGCGGCTTAAGATTGAGTTCATTCAAGGGGGCAGGAGGGGAACAGAAGGGAGACAAGCTCGAAAGAGGAGGCGGCAGCGGCTCTTGTCTGCAGCCGAAGACAAGAGGGAGCCTGCAGGGTTATAGAAATAACGATGGCAAACCGGCCCGCTCTCTGAAAGCAGCAACTATTGAGGATAGAAGGGTAAGCATGCACAGGCGCGCGCGTCTATAGCTCTGCATGAAAATTTCCCTTCTAAATGAATGTTCACAAGGGTTTCGCGAGGCCATTGGAGATTCTCGGGATAGATAGGAAGCAGTGGGAGTCAACAGCTGCAGGTGCAAAATCTGTTTCCCCAATGCGTAGCGGAGGGTTCTTGTTTACTTCTGGGAGCTTGGGGGTTGAGACGTGTTCGCTCGAGGCCGCTTTGCCGTTGACGACTGTCCGCAACCGTCCGCAACCATCCGCAACGAAGGCCTTCTGGCCCAAAAGCTGTCACCCGTGACGCCACAGCGGTTTGTGTGGCAGGCATTGCATTTGGTGCCATCGACCTCCATTCTGTGTGGCTGGTGTGGCACTTCGTGACATCGGCTTTGCTTTTGTGTGGCCGGCGTTGCACTTATGGCATTGAGCGGTCGCCCGTGATGCCGCGGCAGGTGTGGCATTTGGTGCCATCGGCCTTCATTCTGTGTGGCAGGCGAGGCACTTGGTGCACTGGGCTGGTTCTGGTGGCACGCTTGGTCGCCCGTGACGCTGCGACTGGTGTGGCATTTGGCGCCATCGACCTCCATTCTGTTTGGCAGGCGTGGCACTTCGTGACACCGGCTGTGCTTTTGTGTGGCGGGCGTCCAACTTATGGCACTGGGCTGGCTCTGCTGGTGCGCTTGCTCGCCCGTCACACCGCCGCTTTGTGTGGCAGGTGTGGCATTTGTTCCGTGCCACAAGAATTGCTTCAGACATATAGCAACTTTTCAGGATGTCAGCTGCAGGTTTTTTCCCCGCGTCATTGTGGGGGGCTCTTGTTTTTCTGTTGTGCCCTTCCGTCCGCTTCTCCTTCTCTCCTTCTCTCCTTCTCCTCGTCCCCGCGCCTTTCACACACAACTTTGTCACAGACACGCAACTCTTTCACGCCCAACTCTCTCACGCACGCAACTTCGTGACACACAACTCTGTCACACACATCACGCATACCTTTGCCCCACACACTTTCCTCTTTCGCCAAGTCCTTTTACAAGCGAATTCTACTACTCCCCCAGGGGCGCACTTCGAATGCTCATATAGTGACGTCCTTACCCTCTATGTTGGGATTCCCCTATCTCGACCCTTGCTTGTCCGAGGTTTCAAGGCCAGTACGCCGACGATCAGAAGCACGGATTCGGCACCTTCACCTGGCAGGCGGGGCGGGCATTGAGGCATGAGGGAGAGAGAGGGAGGGAGAGAGAGAGAGAGAGATCAGAAAACATATTGTTGGGGCAAGTCGGGTAAGCTTCAAAGTTGTGACTCAAAGATTCAACATGACGATGCCCCATTGGAATTGGGAATGCCTCAGTTTCAGGCACAGCAATGGGGCATGGTACTGGCCACGAATTATAGCCGCTGAATTTCATCTAACCAGAAACGCTTGCATAAACACAACCCACAATCCACCAGCTTAATGCGTCGGCTCCCGCCAACCATAACGGGGCAATCTAGCTTCAAGTGACAAACCAAAAAGGACCCGTTTTATTTTTTAATGGTAGACCGGGGTATAACAAACACAATACCGGGCCAGAACCTGTGGCGATCCTTCGAGGGCTTAACATCAGTTGGCGCAACTTTGGTGTACAACACGGCGCACCACAGTATGGTATCGCGGCAAGAGCACCCATTACCTTTTGCAATCACAGCTGCCGACAAAACCATGGTCAGGCAGTATACGCTTTTAGGTTGGATAATGATAATGAGCCGTGAGGTTCGTTTTTTGCCAGATGCGGGGTAACCTTTTGAGCAACCAGGGCGCCCAAAACGCGTTTGGAACACCAGACCATCCGCATCAGTTTGCATTCTGCTGGTTCTGCGAGATATTGGCAGTCTTCATTCACCCCAAATCTCAGCAACAGCAATGACCCTTCGATAGGTTACAGCCGTTCTTGTCTCTGCCCATGATGGCTCATACGGCTGGAAATATCGCAGCGCGGCTTATATCTGTTACCTGGAAAAGAATTTCAATGCGTATGATTAATACATGCCACGATGATGAGGCACAGCTATCGGCAGGCCGGACCAACGATTCTGGCCAGCCGCCACACCACGTTGGTTCATACCGAGATGAATATCTGTAGATAGGCGCCTCACCAGTCCCTCGCGGCCTGCTGCGACAGGACGGCCGGCGCTTCGATGGCTTCTGGCAGCATGGCAAGCAGCACGGCTACGGGGTGCCGCTGCCAGGGGGAATTTCGGAGCATGGAGCCAGAAAATTTGGCGGGGTTACAGAACCATAATTGGGATAGAACCTACAACCTGGCGCCCCCCCGTAAAAGTTAGCTCTTTAAACCCCATTTCAGCATTAGGTACGTTTACCACAAGCCCTGTTTATATTATCTAGAAACAACGTAGTTGAGTATGGCGTGCCAAAAGAGGTAAAAACAAAAGCACAGGGGATGGGAAGAGGAATTGTTCTGATGTCTTGTGTATTATGGGAGTGGCCAATTCGAATGCTTTGGGGCTACCGTGTGACAATATCACTTCAAGCTCCTATGTAGTTACCAGTGGTTTCAACCATGTGGATAATCAATCTCCGGCGGGGCCTTTGTTTGCGGCACCCCCAGCAATAAACATAGCCAAAAGAAGCGGAACTATACCATACCCAGATGAGTGAATTGAAAACCCATGGTACAAGCAAAGCAAGCACAAGGCGGGCGGCGAAAGTTTCCATCAGGAAGATGCATTTCACAAGGGGTGTGGGAAAAGTCTTGCTTGCAGGGGCTGTGGTGATGTTGCAATGCGTCCCAACTTTTTCAACAACCTTTCCGCACCTCTTCCCACCTCTTCTGACCTTCAGCTTTTCTCATGTTCTTTAAACTTTTCTCACCTCTTCTCACCTCTTCTCACCTCTTCTCACCTCTTCTCACCTCTTCTCACCTCTCTCACCTCTTCTCACCTCTTCTCCACATTTCATCTCACTCAACTCTTGTCTCGCCCCTCAGCTTTTCTCACCTTTTCGCACATGCTCTCAACATTTCTCGCCTTCTCTCAACCCTTTTCTCACCCCTTCTTCTCTTGCCTTAGCGCCGCTCAACTTTTCGCACAGGCTCTCGACTTTTCTCGCCTCATCTCAACTCTTTTCTCGCCCCTTCTCGTCTTGCCTCAGCTCTTCTCAACTTCTAGCACATGCGTTCAACTTTACCCACCTTTTCCCACTCTTCTCACCTTTCGTGTCAACTCTTCTCATCTCGCCTCCGCTTTTCTCACCTTTCTCAACTCTTTTCGGCTCTCAACTTTCCTGACTGCAACTCTTCACGCCTCTTCTCCACTCCGTCTATCTGTTTTGAACTCTTGTCAGCACTTTTGTCAACTCCTGTCTGCTTTTCTCAAGTCCCTTTTCACCTCTTCATAAGTCTTTTCACCCCTTCGCCGCAACTCTTCTCACTGATCGCGTCAACTCTTGCCACCTTTCCTCAACTCTGCATCTCAAGTCTTCTCACCTTTCATCCCAACTCTTCTTACCTATTCTCAACTCAGCTCACCCTTACCCAATGTGATGTGCAATTGGTTTTATTCCACACGCTGTCTGTTTTTTTGAGGCAGGACACCAAAGAACCACGCGCACAGCCGCAGCGCCAAGGAGCGCAGCTTCCCCTCTGCGATTTGCAGACGCCGAGTTGCAAAGCACCAAAGAATTACGAATGCGGCTGCAGCACCAGGAAACCTTGCTGCAGCCACTCCCCTGTGATCTGCAGACATTGGCTTGCAAAGCCACGCGCTTGCAAGGCTCGTTTCAACAACAACAACAACAACAACAACAACAACAACAACAACAACAAACCCTGATGAAACCGTTCCAATGTACAAAGTTGCTCAATACCTGCCGAACACCAAAGCAACGCATCAACACATAGAAACAAAAGTCGCCTTGAGACCGAATTTCGGGCAGGCTTCAGCGCTAAACGAACGATGCCCGACCCACCAATCGAGTTTACTTTTGACCCCGATCACTGATGCACGGAAAACATAATGTCTCGCGCAACTTCCAACATTCAAATTTTCATCTTTGGTGCCGCAGGCCAAATTTGATCTGGCATTAGGCCCTTGCATAGCACCATAGAATTGCAAGACATATTTCGACACCTGCCAACCTTGATGCAGCAGTTCCACTGCACAAAGTGCCTTGGCACCTGCAAAATGCCATAGCACAGCATCCGCAGATAGAGACCAAAGTCACCTTGGGATATTGGCACCACTGCTCGCGCATTTTGAACAGGTTTCGGCACTAAACCGACAATGCATGACTCCGTCGCGCATTTGAACCTATATTTTTGCCTCCGATCACTGAGGTATGTTTGGCCGGAAAACACCATGTCTCGCGCAACTTCGAACAGTCAAACCTCATCCTGGATGCAGAAGTTCGCTGTTCTACGCTACTCCACTCTACTTATCTACTCGACATTTTTCTTCTCTGCGCTTCTCTACGTTGCCCTTCTTTATTCTCCTCTATGAATTATGTTTGTCTAGGTTGGCCGACGCTAATTTCCACTGCTCCTCCGCTATACTTTTCCCTACTCTCTGCTTTGCACTGCTCTGCTTTACCCCTCTTCTCTGTTCTAGTCCATTTTACGCTTCTCTACTCTACTGTATTCTGCTCTACTCACTCTTGAGGCAATATGACTTGGTGCTATTTTCCGCGCCTCGGGCTTTCTCTACGAAATTTCTTTTGGCTGAGGGGGGAATCCAAATTCCACGGCATTCTTTTTTTTGGTGTCCGCAAACGGGCACCTGGGCAGTTGAAGTTGACCACCAGCCCCCCCCCCAGCTGTCAATCACAGCTCCATCGCTTCGCAGATCACGAGCAAAACCGACGGAACGCAGGGCCCCAAGATCCATGAGACCTTTTCTTGTGCTATCTTGTGTGACAAGACAGATTCGGTGGTTCATATTTAGTCCTGCCTGATTTCGGTTGACGGCCATTCTGCAGCGATCCTTTGCACTTAGGGTCCTGAAAGAGGGACACTGGGTCCGTGGGCTCGGGATCTCAGTGGCCACGCTGCAGTTGAGAATATAATTTTGGCACGAAAGCAAGCATTTGTTTACGCATTTGCTTTCGGCCCCGGTGTTTAGCGGTTTGACTTTCTCATCCTGCGAAGAGCCTTGGGGAACTGAGTCTGCATGAGACAGGGTGGAAAGTTCAGTGGAATTGAAACAGATTAAGCAGGACCACGGAAGCCAGGCTTGTCTGGAGGAATGAGGGTCCTTATCCCAGCACACCCCTGCCATCGCAATTCAAAATCGACCCTCATCCTTCATCCCTTGTCATTCACTCATCATCATCATCATCATCATCAGCAGCAGCAGCATCATCACCATCAGCAGCATCAGCATCATCGGCATCAGCAGCATCATCAACACCAGCATCGTCACCGCTGTCACCACCATCACCATCGTCATCACCATCGCTATCCTCATCGTCATGACTACCAACATGCTTTACTGCCACTACTACTACTACTACTACTACTACTACTACCACTACTACCACTACTCCTCCTACTACTACTCCTACTACTACTCCTACTACTACTCCTGCTACTACTACTACTACTACTACTACTACTACTATTAGTACTAGTACTAGTACTAGTACTAGTACTACTACTACTACTACTACTACTACTACTACTACTACTACTATTAGTACTAGTACTAGTACTAGTACTAGTACTAGTACTACTACTACTACTACTACTACTACTACTACTAGGACTACGACTACGACTATGACTACGACTATGACTACTACGACTATGACTACTACGACTACTACTACGACTACGACGACGACTACTACTACTTCTTCTACTACTACTACTACTTCTACTACTACTACTACTTCTACTTCTACTTCTCCTTCTACTACTTCTACGACTACTTCTATGACTACTTCTACGACTACTTCTACGACTACTTCTACGACTACTTCTACGACTACGACGACTACTACTACTACTACTACTGCTACTACTACTACTACTACTA